TTTTTTAATCCAGTCCTCTTTTGATGGACAGCATGGTTGCTTCCAGGTTCTTGCTATTGTGAACAATGCTGCGATAAACATACGTGTGCAGGTATCTTTTTTATAGAGTGATTTGAGTTCTTCAGGGTATATTCCTAGTAGGGGGATTGAGGGGTCATATGGGAGGTCAATATTTAGAGCTTTTAGGAATCGCCATACTGTTTTCCACAGAGGTTGCACTAGTTTGCACTCCTACCAACAGTGTAGAAGTGTTCCCTTTTCGCCACACCCTCTCCAGCAACTGTTATTTTTTGAGTTACTGATAATTGCCATTCTTCCAATTTCTAAATGAAGGTCCTAATATTTCAGTTAGGAAGGTGGAAATACTACACAGCAGACCCTTAAGGATAACTGCTAAGGATTTTATTCTTTCAACTGGGTAAAATGCCACTGGCATTATGAGTATGGTGTCTTTTTTTTTTCCTTGGGTTTTACCCAGCCTTGACCCGCTGGTCTCAGGTGATCCTTCTGCCTCAGCCTTCCAAGTAGCTAGAACTACAGGCGTGTGCCACCACACGAGCTAATGTTTTGATTTATTTTAGAGACAAGGTCTCACCATGTTGCCCAGGCTGGTCTCAAATCCCTGGGCTCAGGCAATCCTCTCACCTCTGCCTCCCAAAGTGCTGGGATTATAGGTGTGAGTCACTGTGCTTGGCTTATGGTGCCTTGTACATGTCCGCTTCTTGGTGATTATCTCTGAATTTGATTGTTTTTTACTAAACATAGGTATAAAAGGCAGTCTGATGGAGAATTTCTTATAGAATATGCTGTATGTATAGATTTACGAATTGATCTCAAAGTGCTAAATGGTCATGGGATGATAATAGCAGAAATCTTTATAATCAATAATCATATAACATAAAATTTGTTGTACTCAAATTTTCTAGAAATTAACTTACAAAGTTATCTGACTTGAAAAGACATATGTAAATTACTTTAACTCACCCAGATTTAGTTTTTCAGAAAAGAAGCAGATCTGTTTTTCAGAATAGAAGTTACTGCCAGTACTTTAGAAAATAAAGTTGAGATTTTTGCAATCATGTCCTTTTTTAGAAAATGAACTCTTTATTTTATTTTTTTAATTTTAATTTTTATGTTTTGAGACGGAGCCTCCCTCTGTCACCCAGGCTGGAGTGCAGTGGCATGCTTATGGCTACTACAGCCTCAACCTGCTGGACTCAGACGATGCTTCCACCTCAGCCTTCCAAGTAGCCGGAACCACAGGTGCACGCCATCATGCCTGGCTAAGTTTTTTGATTTATTATAGAGACAAGATCTTGCCAAGTTGCCTAGGCTAGTCTTGAATCCCTGGGCTCAGGCATTCCTCTTGCCTCTACCACTCAAAGTGCTAGGATGACAAGCATGAGTCCCTGCATCTGGCCTAAAATGAACTTATAATGACCGAGTTAACAAAGAAAAGATAATAAGTAATTGAAATTTATTTCTTCCTTTTGAGAACCAAGGAATTTTTTTGCTTTCTTGATTAGTCATGTAGTTGGTATGAATCAGGTATCATTAATCATCTGGGAACTGAGTACTATCTGGAGTCCCAAAGAGAAGGGAACTGTTACCCGGAAAATAAAATCACTGGTCTGACCCGATGTTCCACAGCCTCCACCTGCTGGGCTCCGGCGATCCTTCCTCCTCAGCCTTCCGAGTAGCCGGATTACAGGCATGCGCTACCACGCCTGGCTGATTTTTTGATTTATTGTAGAGATGAGGT